GTGTGTCTACGTGTGTGTGTGTGTGTGTGTGAGAGAGAGAGAGATAGAGAGAACTAATGATGAAACAAATGGGACAAAATGTTAATAATGAGTGAATCTGTATAATGGGTATATATGGGAGCCCTTTGACGACTCTTGCAACTTGATTGTACCTTTGAAATTATTTTCAAATAAAGTGCTAAAAATAGATTAGAAGAAATAGATGTATGTTTTTTATATTTGATTGTATAGGAAATATATTTGAACTGAAATTATAAGAATTCCCATGAACTTGCTGTGGCGGTAAAAGAAACATCAGTTTGTCCTTTCTGCTATACTCTGAGTTACGGCTTTTAGGGAATCTATAAATCTCAGAGGGGAATTATTGGATGGTTTTACTAACTTAGACCATAAAGCTCTCTGGGTTAGTCCCCAGGGAAATTTATTTCACTTTAAGTTAGCAATACCTCATAAACTTTCTAAGAACTTCAATGTGAGTCTCAAGGTTAGTATAATATTAATGTTTTGCTTTAGAATTTTTCATGCTTTCAGAATTTGGGAGGTGTAGTTGGGAAGCCATCATTAATGTCATTTTATGTTAACATTTTTTCTTTAGATTTGAAAACCATTATATATGCCTCCCCCCCCCCCTTCTGTAAGTGTCATGATACTATGTGATTCACTTCAATTCTTAACATTATATATTTTTCAAAATTTGGCCCTGGCCGGTTTTGCTCAATGGTTAGATCAATGGCCCATGGACTAAAGTGTCACAAGTTTGGTTCATGTCAGGGGCACACCCTGGTTGGATTTGTGCAGGAGGCAACCAGTTGATGTGTCTCTCTCGTGTCGATGTTTGTTTCTCTCTCTCTCTCTCCCTTCCTTCTTCCCACTCCATCTGAGGATAAGTGGAAAAATATCCTCAGGTAAGGATTTAAAAAAAAATTTCTGTGGTGAATTTCAAATGTAAATGAAACTTTGCTGTCCAGTAAACTGGGGTCTGAAAAAGTAAATCTACAGAACAGGTGTATTGGGTGGTGGGAATTAGGAATTTTTAATAGAAGAAATCTCCCCTTTAGAACTAATCTAATCATAGGAATCATACACGAACTTCTGTTGTGTGTAAATTAGGCTTGGCATTTGTTGTGGCATTTTATTTGTAAAGAACTCTACAGGACTTATTAGGAAAAGTGAAACAATTTCAGTGTGATAAGGAAAATGTTCTAATAAATTGCTGCATCTTTGGGACAGAGGCTGCTAAGATTGCATACACTTTTATATGTTCTCAGTGTTTTAGAAAACACCACAAAGACTTTAGTTTTGGTAAATGAATTTCTTAAATCATATGCTTTTAAAACTTTATAGCCATATATATATATGAAAATATGCATGAGTTATATTAAAAAGTTTTAGTAAATGTGCATTGAGGGTGTGGAAAATTCTGGTCTTTCTGTCTCTGCTTCACGTTCTTACAGTGATGGAGCTATCGGACTCTGGTCAGGCAGCCGGCCTATTGTTTTATATATTTAAAATGTAAGAATTTATGTTTAAAAGAAATATGCCGTTGTCATTTGTGCTTGGTTTTTTGTTTTTTTCATGACTATATAGAACTCTACCAGTGAAATTTAATCACCCTTTCACATACTTGCCCTACAAATATTTTGAGATAGTATGTCATTCTTTATTCATTTCCTATTTTTTAGATAAGCATCCCTAGTTCCTTCAGTCTTCACATAACAAGGTTTTTATTTATATCTTATGGATAATACCTTATATTAACATAGATGTTAGTGATGTAAAGGATATTTTCTAAAAAAAATAAATTAAAAAAATAGCAATAATAATAGCAGCCACTAATGTTTATTGAAGCCTTCCTCTGTGCTAGGTGGTATTATAAGCACTTTTCACGTATTAACTCCTCAAAGCGAACATGTGAATATATGTTCTTTTTATCCCATTTGACAGATGAGGGAACTGAGGTTCCGATGTCTCAGACAGCTGGCCTTTGATCACTCAGCTAGTAAAAGGATTGTATAAGTTTAAAATAGACATTGCCACCTTTATCACCCTCTCTGGACAAACTGTCCTTTGTAATGACCCATTCAAACTTAATTTAGCTTAATAGAGCATGGTGTGTTACCTAATGTGGCACCATAACTTTCCCGTGTTCTAGAATTGACACTTTTATTAATATTTTTAATGCAACCTAAATTTATATTTCATCCTAATATTATGTTGACTTGTAGCTAAAAAAAACAAAAAGCCAAACTTCTTCCTTAGACTTTAGTTTTTGCTTTTTAGATAAATTCTTACTGCTTGTCTGTTTAATGTTGCAACATCAGTGAAAAGCTTGAGCTTTATTGTTAAAATAGTTCAGCTCATCATTGCTTTTGATCATAATTCTGGTATCTAAGGATTTAGTTAGCTCTCCCTTTAATGGGTCAGTGGTCATGTGTGAAGAACAACCTCTTTGCCATCATCCTAGGAATTGACAAAAAAAATGTTGATACTTAAACCTGGATTGTTTACTGAGCCAAAATGATTCCTTGTAGAATGTCCACATTTACAAATGCAAAAGTAATAAAAATGTAATGAGAATGTGAATCATAATCAATTTTATATTTTAAGTATAACACCTGTATCTGAACAAATTACTTCCTTCCTTTTTCATCTGAAACTACCATGTCACCTGTGGCTTCCTTGACTAAACTGCTAGTGACCAAACCTTGAGAAATACTGCTGCTGCATTTAAGAATATACACTTCGGTGTTAGACCTGAGTCATAGCTTAACCTACACTTTTAATTTTTTTAATTTTTCAGAAATAGTTGAGTGAAATACATATTTCATGATGAACTTTCCATTACTAGTAAGGTGAATATATATTTCTAAATTAAACTTTGAATTTTGAGATAATTTGTATACACTTGTAAGAAATACCACTGTGATCCTGTGTACCCTTTAGGCAGTTTTCTTTGGTGGTAACATCTTGCAAGTATATAGTATATCACACTCTAGATACTTACAGTGATACAACCTGTTGACTGTATTCAGATTTCTCCCGTTTCACTTGTGTGTGCATGTATGTACGTGTTTAGTTCTGTGCAACGTTTTGCATGTTGTTTCACATATCTATCAACATATAGTCAAGATACAAAATAGTTCTGTCACCACAAGGATCCTTCATATTGTTCTTTTAAACAACACCTACTTCCCTCCTACCTCACTTCTCTCTCATCCCTAACCCTGGACAATCACAGATCTGTTTTCCATTTCTTTAATATTTTTCAAGAATGTTATTTAATTGGACCATTTACATTTAAAGTAACTGTGATATTTTAGTGCCTAAGTCTGCTGTTACATCATTTGTTTTATTTCATGCGTGTGTGCGCGCGCGCCTCTGTTTCTGTTTCCTTGCTTCTTGAACAACTTTTAGAACTTCATCTTCATGTACTTATAATATTCTTGATTGTATCTCTTTGTATAGTTTTCTCAGAGGTTGCTCTGGACATAAAATTACACATATGTAGCTAACTATAATCTCGTAGTATCAACATTTAGAAACATCACGTCAAGTATGGAAGCCTTGCCTTCATTTAGATCCCCTCACCTTCCCACTTTTTAATATCATTGTCTTGAGTATCAGATGATGTTATAATTTTTGTTTGGTTTTTTCATCAAATATGATTTAGAAATCCAATAGTGTATACTCATTTTCTCTGCTCTATTTATCGATCATTTCTGATGCTCCAAGATTCCTTCTTTTATCGTTACATATCTGTTTGAAGTGATAAAGGACCAGCATAGTGCTAAAATTGTTAAGGGTAGAGATCATATAATTTTTTGTCTTTGTAATATCAGTGACTCAGAGCCTGTTACATAGTAGGCGCTCATAAACTGTTTATTACAGTTTTTTTCAGAATTATATACAAATATAGAAATGTATGTGAGAATACAGTTCTCCTTTTCCTTTTGCACACACAAATTTGGCATTTTCAATATTTCAGAGTTTAATCTACAGAAAGACCAATCTTACTTAACTTGAACCCCTGGTATCTAACATAGTAACTAGCTCAGATTTAATCATTGTTTCTTGATTAAATGAATATCAGGTATACCATATTCATAAAAATGTGGTGTTAGAATTAACTTGGTAGTTTGATGATATATTAGTTATATTTTTATTTTTTTATTTTATTATTATTTTTTTTGTGTGTGGATTTTTATTTTTATTTTTATTTTTTTTATGAATTTTTATTTATTTTTTTGTTACAGATATTTTACCTTTTTACCCCATTGGCACCCCCCACCACACCCCACCTCCGCCCCGTCCCCGGCTTAGTTGTCCATGTCCATTGGTCATGCATACATGCATATAAGTTCTGTGGTTTATCTCTTCCCACCCCCCCATTCCCCCCATCCCCTCTTCTGAGGGATGTCAGTCTGTGCCCTACTTCCATGTGTCTGGGTCTACTGTATTCCTCAGACTGTTATGTTCATTATATTCCGTATATAAGTGAGATCATGTGGTATTTGTCTTTTTCTGCTTGGCTTCTTTCACTTAGGATAATACTTTCCAGGTCCCTTCATGTCGTCTCAAAGAATAAGAGATCTTTCTTTCTTACCGCTGCATAGTACTCCATTGTGTATATGTACCACAGCTTTTTTATCCATTCGTCTACTGGTGGACACTTGGGCTGTTTCCAGATCTTAGCTATTGTAAATAGTGCTGCTATGTACATGGGGGTACATATATTCTTCCTGATTGGTGTTTCAGGCTTCTTAGGGTATATTCCCAGCAGTGGGATCACTGGTCAAATGGAAGTTCAATTTTTAATTTTTTGAGGTAGCACCATATTGTTTTCCATAGTGGCTGCACCAGTCTGCATTCCCACCAGCAGTGTATTAGAGTCCCCTTTTCTCCACACCCTCACCAACACTTGTTGTTTGATGATTTGTTGATTGTTAGTTATATTTTTAAATACTATTTGAAGTTCATGGCTTATCTTCTTTCTCTTACAGCATCAAACACTTGGCTTGTTTCAGAAACTAAAGGAGCTATTGTTCAAGGTGGATATGGTCATACAAGTGTGTATGATGAAATAACAAAGTCCATTTATGTTCATGGAGGCTACAAAGCATTACCAGGCAACAAATATGGATTAGTCGATGATCTTTATAAGTATGAAGTTAACACTAAGACTTGGTGAGTAGCTGAGTCAGATGTATGTTGAGAGAATTTGTCAGTTATATTTTATATTTATATAATAGTGGTATTTATCAAATATCTTCAGGGAGACATTCTTGGCCTTTTCCCATCTTTTATTTCAACTAATGATATTCTGTTATGTAGCAAAGATACAAGATTTCTATGTAGCCATCATGACTGCAAATGACTGTAAATGACTGACTTTAAAGTGGTTCCTGACCCTGTAGATACACGTGTTCTATAAGCATTACTGGTATTTATCAGTGCGGACATTATATTTAATTCAGACAGGAAATTTTGCCTATGAAACTTTAGGATTGTTATCTGTCTTGGGATTTGTTCTTCTTTGCACTCATTTTATTGTCATTTGTAAAATTTAAAAATGTTTCTTCAGTTTTATTATCTCATTGCCTGTAAAATACAAGGCTTTTGACATTTAGCTAGATTTTTCTTTTTTGTTGTTATAAAAATGCTACATGGTACATCTTGTATTGGTCTTCTTAATGCACAAATGCAAGAGTTTCTCTAGGGTATATACTTAAAAGTAAAATATTCATATCCCCAAATTTATTGCGTGTTGCCTAATTGTTCTTCAAGTGACGGTGGTAATGTATATTTCTATCAGCAGGGCATGAGTGTCCCTGTTTCTTCATATCCCTAGAAACACTTGGTAACTGTGAGGGTATTTTCTTTTTGTCAGAGCAATGGGTGTGAATGATATCTTATTGATATTTGAATATACATGCCCTGATTACTATTGTAAGTGTATTTTTATGTGTTTATTTGCCACGTGTGTTTCCTTTTTAGTGACTTGCCTATTCATAACCATAATTTTCTCTCTATGTTTGAAATATTATTAGTTTTTTAATTTATTGATTAACCTGGGACATGATTTCTTTGTTGTTTTAAAACACTACACATTCTTTGAAACTTTTAGCATGAAATCCTTTATGTGAAATGAAATAGAGTTTTCTACCAAATTGTAGAAAATACCCCCTTCACTTTCCAACATATATTCTAGTTTTTACTTTATTTGAAGAAAGAAAGATGAAAAAAAAAATGAAGACTTCTTTAGATGATTTTGTTAATTTTACATTTTTGTTGTATGTAATGTATACATGGCATTTTATTTCCTATTTTAATATTTCTGATATTTTTTTAATCGACTTTTTGCTATGATAAAAAGAAGAATTGTGGTGTAGTGACTAAGGCACTGCCGATCTTCTTAACATAGTTTTGCATAGATTATACAATTTTTCCACAAAGGAAAAGATAACTACTTCTGTGTGATAGAGGCTGCACAGTTCACAGTAGTAATAATAGGCACAGCAATGCTCAAGGAGAGGTGTTAATAAAAGTGAATGGAGCCCTGGCTCGTTTGGCTCAGCGGTTAGTGTCGGCCTGCAGACCAAAGAGTCAGGGGTTCAATTCTGGTCAAGGGCACGTACCTTGGTTGCCGTCCATTGCGGTTCGGTCCCCGGCCTGGTCAGGGTCAAGTGGGAGGCAACCAATCGATGTCTCTCTCTCTCTCTCCTTCCCACTCTATCTGAAGATAAATGGAAAAATATTCTCGGGTGAGGATTAAAAAAAAAAACCACAAAGTGAGTGGATAAGAGAAACAAGTATTATTTGAATAAAAGCAAAATGAGAGAATTAGTTGTTGCTTACCACTTGAATGAAATTTGATCAGATTTTACTGTGTTATCTACTTGAAAATTTCTCATAGTAAAAATTTGCATGTGGACAAAAGATATATGTAAGCATACAAATATAGTTTCAGAACAATAATGACGTTAACACCCTATCTACCTAAGCCAAGAAAGAGGACGTTACAATACCCGGGAAGCCCTCATGTGCCTCCATGTCGGCTCTCCCTTCATTATCCCCCAAAGAGGCAATCATATCGATATTGTATTAATTGTTTCATTGCTTTTCATTATAGGTGTTTCAACCTTCTATCTGTATTTGCAAACAAATAATTAATTTAGTTTGTCAGAATTTGATTTTTGCATGTATTGTTTAACATTGCACACTGTCCTTAGGGAGCTGTTTAAACATCACCTTTATGTTTTGGACATATATTTTAATAAGGAGAGGCAGACAAATGGAAATAAGTATAATGTATTTTAAATGATAAGAGCTATGGAGAAAGGAAAGCATGGGGAGAGGACAGGGAGTTTCAGGCTGTTACATTTAAACAGGGTGATCCGAGAAGACATTTGAGTGAACATAGAGCGAGATGAGAGAATGGGCCATGCCAGTATCTGAGGACAGGTGTTCTGGGCAGGGGGAAAGCCAAGGAAGAGCCTTGGTTGACATGGGAATATGCGTACCCTTTGGGATAGAAGGGAGCCAGAATAGCTGGGTTAGAGGATCTCAGAGTGGGTTGTGTGAATGGGAGAAATGACCTTCGAGTGGTCATATTTCTCTCTTCTTTGACATTCTGCTCAAGTCATCTGCCCATTTTATCATATCAGTTGTTTGTGTATGCTTTTTAAATTAACCTCTGATTGTTTGTACCCAGATACACCTTTTCGGTGGGACACCATCCAGCCTTTGTCAGATTAAAGAAGTTCTCTTTTGTAACTATTTTGTTGGGTGGTTCTTATTCGGAAAGGGTGCTGGATATTTTCAAGCTTTTTCTGCATCCATTGGAATGATCATTTTGTTTTTTCTTTCATTGCATCAATTGATTTTCAGATATTAATCCAACCATGCATTCCTAGTATAAATTCAACTTGGTCATGGCATATGGTCCTTTTTATATATTGTTGGTTTCTGTTTTCTAATATTTTGTTGAGGATTTTTATGTCTATTTTTATTTAAAAAGATATTAGTATACAGTGTTCTTTTCTTGTGATACATTGTCTGGTTTAGGTATCAGAGTTATGTCGTCCTCATAGAATGAGTTGAGTTGTGTCCCATTCTATTTTTTATTTTTGAAGAGTTTGTTAAGACTTAATAGTAATCATCTTTAATATTTGGTAAAATTTACCAGTGAAGCCATCTAGACCTCACTTTTCTTTGAGGAAAGTTTAAACTTTCGAATTAAATCTCTTTGTTTTAGGTCTATCCAGATTTTCTGTTTTTTCTTGTGTCAGTTTGGGTAGTTTATATCTTTCTTGGATTTTGTTCATTCCATACTACTGTTTGTAAATTTTATAAGGCTTACAGTTTAGTGTTGCATAATAATCTGTTATATTTCTCTATGATGGAAAGTTATGTTCCTTCTTTCATTTTTTATTTTAATAATTTGAGGGTTTTTTTGGTGTGTGTGTGTGTGTGTGTTTTTGTCAGTATAGTTAAGAGTTTGTCAGTTTTTTATCTTTTCAAAGAAAGAAATTTTTGGTTTTATGATTTTCTAGTCTATAATATATTATTTTCTGTTTAATTTTTGTTTTCTTTGTTCTATTTTTATGTATTTAATATCTCCAATTTAATGTTATTTTCAATATAGTTGAATTTATATCTGCTACTTTACTTATTTAAAATATATTTTTATTGATTTTAGAGAAAGAGGAAGGGAGGATAGGAGAAAGAGAGAGAGAGGGAGAGAGAAGAGAGAGAAACATTGACCTGTTGCTTCCCATATGCACCCAACCAGGGATAAAACCTGCAGCCTGGGTATGTGTGCTGACTGGGGATCAAACCTGTGACCTTTTGGTGCACAGGATGATACTCGACCAACTGAGCCACCCAGCCAGGTCTGTTTTACCGTTTTTAAATATTTTGTATTTTTTTGTTACTTTTTTCTTTTTTATTGCTTTTTCTTGAGTTAAGTAAATGTTTTCTAGTAAAATATTTATACCTTTAATATTTTAAAATACAATTATTTTAGTTACTTTCTTAGCATTTGTTTTAGGGCTCAGCATATAATCATAATTTAGAATATACTTCAGATTTATACTAACTTGATTTCAGTGAAATAGAGAAACATTACTCTTATATAGCTTATTTCTCTTCCCTCTTTTCTCATGATATTATAATCATATACACATATAAGACATCTATCTATATTGCAAATTCAGCAATATATTTTTATACTTATTAGTTTATATAATTTTAAGTCTTTAAGGAGACAGAGTAGAAAGGAGAGCAAATATATGTTTGGTCAAACTTGTTATTGAATATTTTTGTGGACTCATTTTATCATTTGTTTTTCTTGATTTGAGTTAATATTTGGCATAATTTCCTTACTTTAACCGAGCTTTGCTTTCATCGACCCCTTGTGCTCCTATTGCTAAACACAGGGGTGGGCTAAAGTAGGTTTACAGTTGTTGGTATGGAACGATATACAGGTTATGATTATTACAATAGCTGAAACAATTTTTTTCCTTTATTGATTTTAGAGAGAGAGGAAGGGAGAGGGAGAGAGAGGTAGAAACATCGATGAGAGAACATCCATTGGCCGCCTCCTGCATGCCCCTCACTGGGGATTTGGCCCACAACCTGGGCATGTGCCCTGACTGGGAATCAAACTGGTGACCTCTTGGTGCATGGGTCGATGCTGAACCACGGAGCCACACCAGCCAGGCTACAATAGCTTTAGTAATTCAAAGAATATCATCACAACTGTAAACCTACTTTTGCCCACCTCTGGTATATTACATTTCAATGTGGTGGAAGTCCGACAGTCCAATTATATATGTACTATTTTATCACAGTTGCTTTTCCTAGTACAGATGTTTTAGGAAAGAAAAGGGGAAGAAATATGCATTCATACCTTGTTTTATAATTACATAATTGCCTTTGTCAGCACTGTGGATTGGAATAATTGAAAACTGAACAACTTCCTTTGGTGTCTTGTCAGACAGACGTTTTCTTTAAGTTTGTGAATGTATTTGTAACATTTCTAACATTTATAATAGTTGCTTTGAAGTCTTTTTTTTGCTTATCCAACATCTGGGTACTCAAGGGCAGTTCTGTTCTCTCTCTTTCTGTATATGGGTCACATTTTCCTACTTTGTTGCATGTTATAATTTACTGTGAAAACTAGACATTTTAGATAATATATTGTAGCAACTATAGATACTGACACACATACACCCTCTGGGGAGGGGCTGTTGTACTTTTTTTTTTTTAGTGACCTGGCTGAACTCTTAGCAAAGTCTCTTCCCTCCTCTTCCAAAGGCATCTTCCAATGTTGCTCCTCAGAGGATGCAACCTGGGGGTGCACATAGTCACCCTGGGGTGGCTGTAACTTTAGCAGGGCTCTGTGGAGTTCCTCTGGCCTCTCTGTTAAGCTGTTTGCCTTGGTTTGTATCACATCCACCTGGCAGCCTCCACTAATTGCTGAATGATTGCTCTATTGTTTTCAACAATGCTTTGGGGCATAAATTGTTTCACAGTCTGTTTGAATTCCATTTCAGTCCCTGTTGGGCTCTCATAAGCTGTTTTCTCCCAGGTTCTTTCTGGTGAATTTTCCCCGCCCAGGGCTGTTGCTCTCCTGGAGCTACCAGCTATCTCTTAATTGCTCACAACCAAAACTTCCATTGCTTTTGAGAGTTCCCAAGGCTTGCGGTTTCCCACCCTCTGTTCCAGGTCAAGTCGGTTCTCCTGGAAGAGCTCTCCGCCAGAAATGGAAATTGTAGGTGGCATCCTTAGCCTGTTCTTCTCGGAGTGACACCACCACTTTCTGTGCAGGGCACGGGACCAGGGTGGCAGCCTTTGCTCTTCTCAGCTTGCCTCTTTCGGCAAGGAACCTCTTCCCTGTGAGTGAGATGGGGTGAAGATGGTTTGGCCCTTTAGTTCCTGGTCTGCTGGGCCTGGTGTTTACTTCCACCCTGTGGGTTAGAGAGGAAGCACTCAGACCTCTCCTGTTTCTCCGTGAATAGAATTTCTGTCCCCGAGTTGGGGGCATAAGTATTGGCCATCTTCTGCTCCTGGTTAGATTTCAGTGGCCTGGACTAGGGGAGCTGAGGGATGAAGAAGTTCTCTGTTCTTGGCTTTATGTGCCTACTTGGGGTGAATTGTGTTACTGAACTTGGTGTGTGTTGGGTGATATCAGGGGAAGAATGGGAGCCTGTAATGGGTTTAGATATATTGGACTATTGCTGTTCTTATTAAAATTTAGTAGATATTCTTGAGTAAATATTTATGGGTGCTCCTAGTAAATAATTTTTGAACTCTAAATGGTTTTGTTTTTGTTTTTTATAATTTTGACCAATTATACTTTTTGCCATGGGGGGAATGTTTGTTGAACTTCTTATATTGCCATTTTGGAAGTCAGCACCATATTCTTTAACCATTAATTGGTATTATAACCTATGGTTTTTGGGATACTATATATAACTACTAAAACCATACTGTACATACTGTGTTCACATTCCAATTTTTTGTATCAGGGATTTATTTAGGGTGTTTATAAAGCATTGACTTATATTGTCATGCACCTTTATTATATATCAGTTCATTCAGGTGAAATATGATTGTGAGAATATATCGGTATTATTTTCTCTCAGTAGTACTTTCATTAATTGAAAGAACATTTATATTTAATGTTTCTTAAAAATGCTTTGTGACTTTCAGTTATATACAACATATGGATGTATCTGAAAAACAATCTTGAGGACAGAATGTACAAATGAATACAAACTATATGATTCCATTTTGTCAAGTACAAAGACAGCAATACACATCTCTGCTAATAGAATCAGAATAGTGGTAATATATATATATATTTTAAATGTGAGTTAATCCTGTGAGAATTCATTGAATTTTAGACATATGATAAGTGCACTTTTCTGTATATTATATTATACTTAAAAAGTTAAAAAGTGTATTATGGAATCCATATGAGTTATGTAGTTTTAACTGAATGTAGTTCCAAGTAAATTTATTGTATTTAACTTTTTATTTACTTTGGTATTTAAAACTGATGATATTGGTCCTCTAGTTTTAAGAATACGTGTTTCCTTCTTTTATAAATGAAAACAAAATTCAAAATATAAATTATTATAAAATCATTAAAAATTATGTTTAGTATTGTGCTTCCTCAAAGCATTTTAAGGTATATGAATCTGGATATATTTTTCTAAAAATATGAAGATTAGAGGCCAATATATTTTAAATATTGAAGATTAGAGGACATTTATGTTAAAAATTGAGCATGTTATTTCACAATTCCAAATTAGATCCTTTTACTATAGATATATATATATATGAAATCAGGGAGGTCTTTTTATCTTTTGTAATACATTTTTAAATTTTATCCTGTAGGACTATTTTGAAAGAAAGTGGGTTTGCCAGATACCTTCACTCAGCTGTTCTTATCAATGGAGCTATGCTTATTTTTGGAGGAAATACCCATAATGACACTTCCTTGAGTAACGGTGCAAAATGTTTTTCTGCCGATTTCCTGGCATATGACATAGGTATGTATCTGTTAGGATTGTATGAAGTAGGAAATATCAGACAATTTCCATGTAGAGAGTCTCAAACACATTACTAGACAGCATGTGTACATGCCATTTCAGAGAGAAATCAGCAGCAGGTTATGGATGGGATTCTGTCTAAATTCAGCCCAGTGGGAGTACAAGGCGAGGAGAACACATGAACTGGGTGAATTAGTGGTGGGAGACAGAGGAACTGAGAAATCTGGGATGGAAGGTTCGTTTTGGAGGCTACCATACGTTCTACCCCTACATGAACACGGCATCAGTCTGTTTTGTTTGACTGTTACCATTAGTTTTGATGATGGATAGATATAGAGCACCATCAAGTTATGTAAATTACAAATAGTAATAATGCAAGCATTTTAGACGTAGTGGGGACAATTAAAGATGCATTTAAATTAAACTCACCAGATATACTTACTTGGTATAGAAAGATAATAGAATTAGAGAAAGAAATATAGAGACAGTGGAAATAAAGAAATAAGGTTTGGGGACAAAGTGGAAACTGAGAACTAGGAATGGAAATACTCTTTTGCAGAGAACCAGAAATACAGTGCATTAATATCCTTTATTTAATTTTAATTATACTATCTATAGTCCTATCAATTTCTGAATATTGAATGAATATATTTATTGAAATACCAAATTTAGCTATGCAACGGACTATTGTAGTAGAAACATTTCTTCCCTGTATATCATAGTATAGGTAAAACTTGGCTCATATTTAAAATATATTTACTAGTTCTTTAGGGTACTTTTTATTGATGGTGTAAAGTAATATACCAATTTTAAGCTACAAAGAATTTTCTTTAAATCCTCATCTGAGGATATGTTTAAAGAGAGGAAGGGAGAGAGGGAAAAAAGGTGGGAGTGAGGGAAGGAAAGAGAGAGAGAAAGAGAGAAACATTGATCGGTTGCCTCCTGTATGCCTGGGGATTGAACCTACAACCTAGGTATGTGCCCTGACCGGGAAACAATCAGAAACCTTTGGTGTATAGGACAATGCTCTGACCAACTGAGTCATCCTGCAGGGGCTATGAAAAATAATTTTGGATTGGGAGGAGGGTGTCAATGGGGGGAAAAGGAGAAACATCTGTAACAAAAATAAATTAATAAAAAAAGAAAAAGAAAAGAATAGTTTTGATAAGTAAAAATATAAGAGACTGAAGAATAACACATTCAGTAGATGGAAGAAGTATATTTTTGCTCTTAATCACTATGAAGGCACATAATCTACTTTGGAAAATTATTTCAAATGATAGCATCTAAAGGAAATTGTGACCTTTAACAAGCACTTTGATCTTTATACTACATCAGTTTGGAAGAAAATTTCTAGTAATGAAGTTAAGTGTGCATTCCAACTCTAAGCTATGAGTGTCTGCGAGTAATGAACAAGAATTCATTGTCTTTGGGAGTTTTAGATCCTAAATAATTAAATATTTACTTTTTGAAATAAAAATTTGAAGTGATGATTCATGATGAAAATGGGATTGTCTGGGCTTTGAGAAGCTTCTCAATCGGTGCCTGAGATCCAGAAAAAGGCATCGGATGACGGGGTGAAGGAGGCCGGCTCACGCTCTCGGCCCGGCTGGGCTGCCAGCAAGGTGTGTGGCCCGTGCGGGCGGAAGAGGCAGGAAGCTCAGTTCTCTGCGGGTAGATGGACGTTGTATTTGTTTCTCCTGTAAGAAAAATAATCCTAGGGAAGTGTAGAATTTTATTGTTATTGTTAAAAATCAATTAAGTGAGATTTTGGACTTTTAAATTTTGCAGAAGATTCTTCCAGGAACTACCACCCATTTTCTTTACTTTAATGAAAACTTAATGTTGAGGTATTTTTGTAGCTCACATATTGGGAATTTATTTCTTCCATATTATTCATGGTTACTGTATTTTACGTTTTACGTATCAAGAAGTTTACTGAGGTGAAAAAACATTAGAGGTGTTATTTTCAGAGAGAGAGAGAGAGAGAGAGAGAGAGAGACCAGATTATCTTTATTCTAATTTCTTGTTACTGAGTGTTTTCTGAGAGCTAGGTACTATGCTAAGGGCTAAGGGCTAAGGGCTTTGTGTACTAATATCTGTCATCTCTCTAATAACCTTGTAATTAGGTGTTAATAAACTTATTTGCAGAATGTTAAGCAGAAGAGAGTGAAAGGCAGTTGCCCAAAGGTATGGGGGTAGGATCTAGCTTTTGTAACTCCTAGAATTTGCCATAGTCTTTCCACTTGTATATATCGTGCTGTTTGGTTGGGTCCAATGTATATTCTTAATTTTTGGCAACAGATCATCAGACACATTATGTTTAATCATGTTTCTTAATGCTGTGGAAAGATAGAAGCAAGTATCAGTTTTATTTGCAAGCAGGTGTTCAGATTGAAGGAAAAATAACATATTTTAAATAGCATTATGATTTAACATAGGATTTGTTTTTGCCTTGTGCTAACACTAACAACAAAAACATAATACAATTCAACATAGGATAAATGTTTTTTATTTTATCTTATTTGATTATTTCTGGTCAGTTACCAGTAAATTTACTCTCTAAAATTTTTATTTATTCTTAGTTTTGCAGCATCAAATGTTAGAATATTTTCCTGGGAAAAGTATTTTTTTATATTTAGGAAGTGCCTTCCAAAATAATTATTTTCCTTATGCAGTATATTTTGTGGAAATAAAATACAATGATTGCATGATGAACCAACCATAAAATAGATCTGTTTTGAAAAGAAAAAAAAAGGCCATGTTGCTAATTTTTCTCTGTAGTACAGCGCCCTAGAACTTTTATTTTAGTATAATGCCCAGGGACTTTTATGGCATATTTTACTGGAATGCACCTGAACACTTAAGCTGATTGCCTTGTGTTATATCATGTTTAAACAAATAGGAATTTTTGTGCTCATGCTAATTTTTCATTGCTGTAAAATGTACTACTTCAGCCTTACTGCCATAGTAAATTTTACGCAGCGGATAACATTAATCTTGGCGGATATAACCATGCTTTCATAGTTCTCATTATATTTTACATGCTCGATGTAGAGGCCCACCGTGATTTTCAAACATGGCTGTACCTTGGCATCCCTTTTGAAAGTTGTAGGGAGAACAAATCCTATATACTTTGATTCTCTGAGATTAGGCACTGGGCATCTACATGTTACAAAAGTACCTGGTGTGCAGCTGCTATTGGCCGCAACTAGTGAGTAAGACCCGATCACCTGTAACATACACAATGATCTGTTACTCAACGTTCCAGTTTGTGAATCTAGCTTGAAGTCAGATTTTAAATCTGAAAGCTTTTTAGTTTTTGTGATGGTTAGTGGTATTAGGATTGCCCTTGATTCAAGATTAAAGTGATCTTTCTGGTGAAGATAACCTGCTAGTACATAATGAGGCTGAAGATGCGGTGGGAAAATCGTTTCTCCCTGAGTTGGCCTCATGGTAGTAGACATACTTACAGTTTGAAACTCTTTGACTATGGAAAGGGAGTATTGTCATAAAAGTTTTCTAGGGTCAGTGGGTTAAAAGGAATCAGGAAGTTTATTTGTTTTTCACTTTTCTTAACTGTCACTAGGTGATTTGACTAAGAGTTTCAACATTTACAGGGAAGATAATTTAATGAATTGAAACACGTTAAATTCGAAGTGAATTTTGAGACATCATTTTACAAGTATAAAATTATGACCAAGTAGGATTTATTCTAGGAACTTAAGTATGATTCAACATAGTTTATTACATAAAGACTGCTATTGAAGTCAACAGGAAATAACATTGTATGTTAAAACCCTGGTAAATCATTTCAGTTAAGATTGAGGCAAATAGTCGTGCTCCCTTTGCCTGGCAGAGAGTAAGACAAGTTTTGACCTGGTAGGGAAAACTCAGTAGAGCACCATCATTAATGGGTGGATGGAAAAATGTTTAGGCAACATCCAGAAACTCGTTTTTATTAAAAAGGTATTCAAATGGTTCATAGGTGGTTTTCTCTACATCCATCTACTTTTGAGTCTTTTTTTTTATTTTTTTATCCCCACCCGAGGACATTTTTCCATTTTTTTGTACAGATAGAGTGGGAGGGAGAGAGAAGAAGAGAGAGAGAGGGAAACATCGATGTGAAGGGACACATCGAGTGGCTGCCACCCGCACGACCAACCAGGGCCGGGGACAAACTGCAACCGAGGTACATGCCCTTAGCGGGAACCGAACCCGGGCCTCTCCGGACCGCAGGCGGACGCTCTAACCGCTGAGCCAAACCGGCCAGGGCTACTTTTGAGTCTTGTACAAACAACCTCTGTGTTCTTTTTAGTTTATTTCAAGTATGCAACCAAGACTGACTTTTGAATTGGTATTTCAAGTAGAATATTCAAAGAATTTTTATTTTTTATATTTTTTCATTAATTTATTTTTGTTACAGATGTTTCTCCTTTTTTTCCCCATTGACACCCTCCTCCCCACCCCTCCACCCCATCCTCTGCTTTGTTGTCCATGTCCATCAGTTATTCATACATGCATATAAGTTCTGTGGTTTATCTCTCCCCCCATACCCCCTCTTCTGAGGGTTGTCAGTCTGTACCCTACTTCCACATCTCTGGGTCTACCCTGTTTCTCAGACTGTTATGTTCATTATATTCCACAAATAAGTGAGATCATGTGATATTTGTCTTTCTCTGCTTGGCTTGTTTCGCTTAGGATAATACTTTCCAATCCATCCATGTCGTCTCAAAGGATAAGAGATCTTTTTTTACTTACAGCTGCATAGTACTTCATTGTGCATCTGTATCATAACTTTTTTATCCATTTGTCTACTGATGGACACTTGGGCTGTTTCCAGATCTTAGCTATTGTAAATAGTGCTGCTATAAACATGGGGGTACATATATTCTTTCTGATTGGTGTTTCAGGCTTCTTAGGGTATATTCCTAGAAGTGGGATCACTGGGTCAAATGGAAGTTCAATTTTTAATTTTTGGAGGTAACACCATAGTGTTT